GTGTGTGTGTGTGTGTGTGTGTGTGTGTGTGTGTGTGTGTGTGTGTGGATCAGCAACCTTGTCAGTAAATATCAGGAGCAAAGTGGTGTGTTTATAAGCCATAACATTCAGTTTGAGAGGTGGATTAATGACTGGGAGGTTGTTAGTATGAATCCCAAAACTCTATGTTTGTAGAAATGCTCTATGACCAACTGCAGTGCAACTGTCCTTGAGCAAGGCTGTGTGTGAAAGAAGAAGAATGCGGTTGTTGTTGGTTGTGCAAGGTATGACACTCTGTGGGTATAATAACAGTAGTTGTATTTCCATTCAATTGTCAAGCTACTTTTAAACACAATTTTGAAATGAAACTGTTTTGGAGCCAATAAAAGCCGGCTACAGCTTAGAGGAAGCAAAGTGTTGCAAACCGGAAACACAACAAGTCTCCTTGGCTATCGTACTGTCTGTGGTAGAACAATAGAGACAGTTGTCTTGACAGCATTGAAGTGGAAGCCGTGCTCTGTTTATTTCAATGTTAAAGTGCAATAAAATGTTTTGACCGGGCGACTGTGGCTCAGTGGCAGAGCAGGGTCGCCCCTAGTCCTGCTGTGCAGGTGGCACCATGGTAGCCCTGTCATCAGGTGTCAATGAATGATGATGTTAAAGAGCTTTGAGTGGTCGGAAGACTAGAAAGAGAAATACACGTACAGACCATTATTCATTTACCATAAAATCAATGACTAACCGAGATAAATAATCGTGATCTCAATATTGATCAAAATAATCATGATTATCATGTTGGCCATAATCCTGCAGCCCTATGTTTGCTACGTCACAACTTATTGCCGAAGGTGTTTCTGCACTGATTCTTTTTTGTCAAAGGCTAAAAACACCTAAAGTGAGCTTAAAAACTTGTTCAGGATGTTTTATCAAGTGTTGTCGATTTCATCCAGCTTTACTAAAGCAATGCTTAAAAAACATGCACGGCTCAACACACAGAAATTAAGTAATCAAGTCTGACGTATTTCTTGAAGCTCCAAGCGTTTTTCATTGCAACCAGCTTCAGCTCAGTGATCGCTCAGAGATGCTACATGTAATTCTTCCACTTTCTCAGGTTCAGTCACTGGACCAAAGAAGCAGTGATAGCAGATAACAGAAGGCTTTGTGATTCCAACAGTATCCATGTTTACTGTCAGTCAGTCAGTCTTGGTGCCACAATGACATGTGATGTCCAACTGAGTGCTTTGTGATGTCGTCAACAATAATCTGAATGTCCTGATGAAGCTACACCTGTTCCTCTCTCATGAGTATGTTTCAGATGAATTCACTTTCATACTGATTATTTTGGAACAATGTTCCCTGATGTGGCCTGTGAGCGGAAAAAATGGCTCTGAAAATATTCCCACAAGATACAAAACCAGATATTAATAGAAGGGAAGCTGAGAAATCAGGTCTACGTCTGCTCACATCAGTCTGTCTGATGTCAGCACTCTCTTTTTTCTTCTCCCTCCCTCACATAAAGCTGGTTTAACATGCCATGTAAGAATACACCTTTATAGCATTATGTTTGTGATGGGTGCTGTCAAGAAAGAGGAGAAGAAGAAAGTAAGAAAGAGAGACGGTTTATTGGAGAGCGAACAGAAGGGACCACCAGAGGCAGAGCAGCGACTAAAGGCTGAAATAGAAGCCAGAATTGGAGCTCTGTCACTGTTGGACTTCATTGTTGTGCTACTCTTGCTTTAAGGCTGGCAGCCTGGGCAGTCTCGTGCTGTAAAAAAATAAACAAAATACCATCAGATAGAATCAAATATTTAGATTTTTAGATGAGAGTGCAGAAATGAGAGGCTGCATGAGAAGAAGGTGACTGTCCCACAGGTACTGAATCCCTTCAGCTGTATTAACCCGCTGTGTTTCAGTCCCAACGCCAGGAGAGACTTAGAAATGAACATGAATATATATATACAGTATATATATATATATATATATATATATATATATATATATATATATATATACAGTATATATATATATATTTTTTTTTTATTTTTTTTTTCAATCATTAACAAAGTGCTTAGTTATATATTTAAATTCAGTTCATATATGTCAAATTTGCATTCAGAAGTTTCCAGCACATTTTGACACACTACTATAGAAACTATCTGAAAGCCTTTCACAGCCAACACAGCATGTTTGTATGAGAAGTATCAGCATCCTGTCATTGTGCTTCATTTGTTTCCCTACAGTAGTACTTGCAATAAGCATGTTAGACATTTGTATGGTTGTGTTCAGGCAAAGCACTTGGTTCAGGTTATTAAGGAAAGATTGTGTTCCTGATGATATTGAATGCTGAAGCATGAGACACAACATTGTGACTTTCAATATTTAACAGTGTCCCCTGAGCCTTAACCAGAGTGCTTAAGTAGCCTGCAGCTAATCAGACATGGGACACAGGGACCCGTCTCTGATGTCAAAGTCCTTTTGCGTAAACGGCCCACTCTGACCTTCTTACAACTTCTGTGCAGTATAAAAACAACACAGCAGCAATTACTCTTATTCCAAAACACATATCTGTTCCTAGTGTATACAGATGTTGTAGGACAGAGGGCTGAACTACTGACTATAAACACACACCAATAGTCTCTCTCACTCGTTCACTTGTGTTTTCAGTCATGTCATGGTGGACTCATAATGTCCAATCATCTTGTCTGAGCTCAGTATCTGTCCGCACTCAGCCACACAGACTGGCAAAGCAAACAATGAGCTGCAGGCTGGGATGTTATTTAATGAATCATTTCATTCAGTGTCAACATCAACAGTATTGCTTAATGGAGCTTTAAATTACAGGGTAGGCAGGCAAATGTTGTTATGATAGCCGGTTTTCATGTCGATTCCAATGCTTCATTTAATATCTAAAGAAGATTTAACACTCGAGAAACAAGCTGTGTCACAGAACAAGATTCGGCAAAGGTATCTGGCGGCTTTATAGCAGAGTTTCCACGGAGATTATGTCAGTTGTCCGTCTCTGTCAGCTCTGTAAGCCAAGTTGCTCATAATTGGAAGAGTCTTGAAGCAGTGCAAAGGATCACTTGATGCCATTCCCATGTTTTCACCTATCTGACTGACTGCTGCAGTTCTGTCAGGAGCCAGACGGATGCTCAACCATTGAGAGGAGGCAAGTCATTTAATGTAAATATGTTAGTGAGGAAGTATTTTTTAAGACTGGTTGAATTGTGGTAATTTTAAATGCCAAGCCTTCTATACCGGGTGTCAAGTGTGAGCAAAACAGATCAAATGATGAGCTGGAGTCTCACTGACTGAAGGTCTAAGAGAGAAAGACGGCTCAAAGGATTAAATATTTCTCATTTTATGTCATCACTGTTTCTCCTCGTCATGGTCTGAAATGGAAGCTGAACGAGCATGTCTGTTCAGCTGCAAGCCTCGCCGAGCACAGTTCACAGGGAGGAGAGAGCTGAGACGAGGAGAGATGATGGCTGTGAGAAAAAGTGAGCGAACAGGAGGAGAGAGAAGTTGAACTACAGATCAGGATCAGATTTGAATCCGTCAATTAGGGTTGCCCCCCCCTGTGTCTCTCTCACTTTTCTTTTCTCTCTTCGAGTAGCTCCGTGGAATGTGGACCCTCCATGAATACAACGCCTACTTCATGTCACAATGTGAGGGTGCAATCAGATTTTTGTTTTCATGGTAACATTTGGTGAGCGATAGCAAGGAAGGTATGTTTGTAGTTCTGTTGATAATCTAGCGCTCTCTTTACCGTTGTAAACAGATTTGATATAAAATGAAAAGGGGGAGAGGGACGAAGAGAGAAGTTATAATAGCTAGAGGGAGGAAGAAGCAGAGGAGCTTAAAAGTAAACAGAGGGAGGAAGCGAAAAGAAATGTTACGGTTCATTTACGCAAAGTGCACATGCAGAAAGCACGAGAAAAAACGGTTAAACTTTGCTTTGTTAAGGGGTGACATTTCTTATGAGAGTGAGAACGAAAGAGAAAGATACGTGGGGGGGGGGGTGTAGCAGAACAAATTTTTCTTTGGAGTGCCGTCTCATCAACAGAGTGAGGCAGCAAAGCAGAAATCTTTGTGTTTTGACAGTTACGTAAATACCTGGAAGAGCCACAGACAGAGAGATGTGACTGTGTTTGAAGAACATCGATCCAAAGCAGAAGGTGAACCAGAGAGGACGACATCAGTGCCTTATCGTTCTATTAACATGCCAACACACTGAACTTTGTTCTTCCATAAATGTATATTTGTGGTACACACTGCTCCCCACACACACACACACACACACA